GTATCTGTCACAGAGAGACAGGTCTCAGTCCTGCACTGATTGGCTCCGCCCAGTGCTGCTGGGGGAGTCTCAGACACAGCCTTTTTCCGACAGGTGTAGCTGCCACTTTCTCCAGCACAGAAGCCTGGGGCCCTGAGAATGGCACCATGCTGCACGCTGACCCTTGGGGTTCTTCCCTCCGCATGGCTCAGTGGAAACCCTGCATGTAGCACAGCGGGCAGGCTGGGGCCTGTGACGACCCTGGGATTGGAGGCCAGGCAGGGCTTCACTGAGAAGCGGGGATCTGGGGCCTGGCGCCCAGGGAATGGACGACTCCGCAAGCTGCCCCCACCAGTCCTTCCTGAGCACTGGCTTCAGGAGAAGCATCTCAGGGCAGAGGCAGCCAGGCCCAGGCAGGGAGTGACCCCTGAACAAGGCCTGCAGCAGGGTCTCGGGGCCTGACTGTGCCAGAAACAGCCCCGAGCCAGAAAGGATGGGCAGATGCTGACTGCCACCACTCCTGGGATATCTCAGCACCAGGGCTTCGACCCCTGGGGATACACACCCATGCCTGCAAACACACCCACACCTGCAGACACGCCCACGCCTGCAGAGACACCCACGTCTGCAGACACGCCCACGCCTGCAGACACACCCCCGCCTGCAGAGACACCCACGCCTGCACACACACCCACGCCTGCACACACCCCCGCGCCTGCAGAGACACCCCCGCGCCTGCAGAGACACCCACGCCTGCAGAGACACCCACGCCTGCACACACCCACGCCTGCACACACCCACGCCTGCACACACACCCGCGCCTGCAGAGACACCCACGCCTGCACACACACCCGCGCCTGCAGAGACACCCACGCCTGCAGACACACCCACGCCTGCACACACCCACGCCTGCACACACACCCACGCCTGCGCACACACCCACGCCTGCACACACCCACGCCTGCCACACCCGCCTGCACACACCCACGCCTGCAGACCACCCACGCCTGCACACACACCCACGCCTGCAGACACACCCACGCCTGCACACACACCCACGCCTGCACACACCCCCACGCCTGCACACACACCCACGCCTGCAGACACCCCCACGCCTGCACACACACCCACGCCTGCACACACACCCACGCCTGCACACACACCCGCGCCTGCAGAGACACCCACGCCTGCACACACACCCGCGCCTGCAGAGACACCCACGCCTGCAGACACACCCACGCCTGCACACACCCACGCCTGCACACACACCCACGCCTGCGCACACACCCACGCCTGCACACACCCACGCCTGCAGACACACCCACGCCTGCACACACACCCACACCTGCAGACACACCCACGCCTGCACGCACACCCACGCCTGCACACACACCCACGCCTGCGCACACACCCACGCCTGCACACACACCCACGCCTGCGCGCACACCCGCGCCTGCACACACACCCACGCCTGCGCACACACCCGCGCCTGCACACACACCCGCGCCTGCACACACACCCGCGCCTGCACACACACCCCGCCTGCAGACACACCCCCGCCTGCAGACACCCCCGCCTGCACACACCCACGCCTGCACACACCCACGCCTGCACACACACCCACACCTGCAGACACACCCACGCCTGCAGACACACCCACGCCTGCACACACACCCACGCCTGCACACACACCCACGCCTGCACACACCCACGCCTGCACACACCCACGCCTGCAGAGACACCCACGCCTGCACACACACCCACGCCTGCACAGACACCCACGCCTGCAGACACACCCACGCCTGCACACCCACGCCTGCAGACACACCCACGCCTGCAGGCACACCCACGCCTGCACACACACCCGCACCTGCAGACACACCCACGCCTGCACACACACCCGCACCTGCAGACACACCCACGCCTGCACACACACCCACGCCTGCACACACACCCACGCCTGCACACACCCACGCCTGCACACACCCACGCCTGCAGAGACACCCACGCCTGCACACACCCACGCCTGCACACACCCACGCCTGCACACACACCCACGCCTGCACACACACCCACGCCTGCAGACACACCCGCCCCACACACCCGCGCCTGCACACACCCCGCGCCTGCACACACCCGCGCCTGCAGACACACCCGCGCCTGCACACACCCGCGCCTGCAGACACACCCCGCCTGCACACCACCCGCGCCTGCAGACACACCCCGCCTGCACACACACCCGCGCCTGCACACACACCCGCCCACACACCCACGCCTGCACACACCCACGCCTGCAGACACACCCACGCCTGCAGACACACCCACGCCTGCACACACCCACGCCTGCGCACACACCCGCGCCTGCCACACCCGCGCCTACAGACACCCCCACGCCTGCACACACACCCACGCCTGCACACACCCCACGCCTGCAGACACACCCACGCCTGCACACACACCCACGCCTGCACACACCCACGCCTGCACACACCCACGCCTGCACACACCCACGCCTGCAGAGACACCCACGCCTGCAGAGACACCCACGCCTGCAGACACACCCGCGCCTGCGCACACACCCGCGCCTGCAGACACACCCGCGCCTGCAGACACACCCGCGCCTGCAGACACACCCGCGCCTGCAGACACACCCACGCCTGCACACACACCCACGCCTGCACACACCCACGCCTGCACACACACCCACGCCTGCACACACACCCACGCCTGCACACACCCACGCCTGCGCACACACCCACGCCTGCAGACACACCCACGCCTGCAGACACACCCACGCCTGCGCACACACCCACGCCTGCGCACACACCCGCGCCTGCAGACACACCCGCGCCTGCACACACACCCGCGCCTGCACACACCCCCGCGCCTGCACACACCCCGCGCCTGCACACACCCCCGCGCCTGCACACACACCCGCGCCTGCACACACACCCGCGCCTGCACACACACCCGCGCCTGCACACACACCCACCTGCAGACACACCCACGCCTGCACACACCCACGCCTGCACACACCCACGCCTGCACACACACCACGCCTGCAGAGACACCCACGCCTGCACACACACCCACGCCTGCACACACCCACGCCTGCACACACCCACGCCTGCACACCACACCCACGCCTGCACACACCCACGCCTGCGCACACACCCACGCCTGCAGAGACACCCACGCCTGCAGAGACACCCACGCCTGCGCACACACCCACGCCTGCGCACACACCCGCGCCTGCGCACACACCCGCGCCTGCGCACACACCCCGCCTGCACACACCCCGCCTGCACACACCCCGCGCCTGCACACACACCCCGCCTGCACACACACCCGCGCCTGCAGACACACCCACGCCTGCAGACACACCCACGCCTGCACACACACCCCACGCCTGCACACACACCCACGCCTGCACACACCCACGCCTGCAGACACACCCACGCCTGCAGACACACCCACGCCTGCAGAGACACCCACGCCTGCACACACACCCACGCCTGCACACACACCCACGCCTGCACACACACCCACGCCTGCAGACACACCCACGCCTGCACACACACCCACGCCTGCACACACACCCACGCCTGCGCACACACCCACGCCTGCACACACCCACGCCTGCACACACACCCACGCCTGCGCACACACCCACGCCTGCGCACACACCCACGCCTGCAGAGACACCCACGCCTGCAGAGACACCCACGCCTGCGCACACACCCACGCCTGCGCACACACCCGCGCCTGCACACACACCCGCGCCTGCACACACACCCGCGCCTGCACACACCCGCGCCTGCACACACACCCGCGCCTGCACACACACCCGCGCCTGCAGACACACCCACGCCTGCACACACACCCACGCCTGCACACACACCCACGCCTGCACACACACCCACGCCTGCACACACCCACGCCTGCAGACACACCCACGCCTGCAGAGACACCCACGCCTGCACACACACCCACGCCTGCACACACACCCACGTCTGCACACACATTCGCGGGCATGCGCACCATGGGCCCATTGGTCATGAGACATCTTCGGGCTGGGAGTGCAGGTTCTGAGGCTGCAGCCTGCTCTCCTGGACTTCTCACCCTCAGTGGGTGGTGGTGTCTGTGTTGAGCTACTCGAGAAAGAAAGAAATGGGGGAAGCTCAGTGCCCACAGGAGGGCTCCAGGAAGGAAAGTGTGGGGCAGCCCCGGCCATTGTTCTAGGACCAGCATGGTCAGGTGCGGAGGGCAAAAGACGGGCACCAGCAGGAGGTTCCAGGCACCCAGGAAAGGCCCTGTCCTCAGCCACCAGTGGCACCTCTCCCATCCAGAGGGGCTAGACAGTCACTGCTGGACCCCACCGTGGTGGATGTTGTAAGGTGTCTGGTTCACTTGTTTTATGAATATTTGGTCTGGATTCTCTTGTGGGCCTGAGAGACGGCAGGACAGGGCCTGGTGGGTCTTGGCGCCTCCCCGAGAGCCTACCTGCGTGAGGGGCGCTGCAGTCCCAGGGGTGCCGTCTGGGGGCCTTTGCAGCGGCAGCAGCACAGCCAGGAGGCCCAGCACACCCTGGCATCCATCCTGAGGGAGGGTCAAAGCATCAGACCCTGTGCTTGTTGCTTAGAAAAGGCCATGTGTCCCACCATGACCAGTGGTTATCAATCACTGTGACAGAAACAGGTCCTGAGCCGGCTTACTAATGCAGGGTGTCTGCAGACCATGGGCCCAGCAGGGCTCCTGGCACCTCTGGGTCCTTGCAGGCTCTGGGCCCACTGCTGACCTGACCTGGAAGAACTGCATACAGCTGAGCGTGGGGATGGGACCCCACCTCATGGGCACAGTCCCACCTTGGGATGCGCGTCACGACCACCAGGGATGTGGGCTTACCTGGCATAGCTGCTTCCGCATTGGAGTTGCCACAGGGTAGTAACCAGAGCCCCCTTTCCTCAGAAGACACCGTGGTGTTTAAGGACGTCCAGTTAACCAGAGCCCCCTTTCCTCAGGGGACACCGTGGTGTTTAAGGACGGCCAGTACTGGATACGAGGCCGGACCTCAGTGGACATCATCAAGACTGGAGGCTACAAGGTCAGCGCCCTGGAGGTGGAGTGGCACCTGCTGGCCCACCCCAGCATCACAGGTGTGTGGCTGGACTTGCGCCAGGGAAGCCAGGCGAGACGGGTGCTGCCTTCCATGTTTGAGTTTTAGACGATCACGGATGAGGCGACGCTGTCCCAGCTGCCTGCAGGAGTCCCTGTGACACTCACCTCTGCTCCCTGCCCTGGCCAGGGCACATGGGGCTAGTGGGGGTGCAGCCTGCTCAGTGTTGGAGCCACTGACCCCATGCCCACTGGAGCTCCCAGGCCTGACTGGGCGCAGCTCCCATCTGCATGATGCCTGTGCAGGGAGAGTGCAGAGAGCCAAGGGGTGGGAAGGCAGAGCCCCTGTGGGTGCCCAGCCACCAGATCCACCATGGGGAGCCCATCCTTACTCCCTCCCCACAGGACCAGCCAGCACCAGGATGGGTGATCGGAGTGGGGCCTCCCCAAGGACAGGCTCCAGGGCTGGGCCAGACTGCGCGCTTCCTGTGCGTCCAGGCACTCTCCGGCCTGTGAGAGTCACTGAGGCATTCCCATGTCCTCAAACTGTTCTTCTGTCCACAGATGTGGCGGTGATTGGAGTTCCGGATATGACATGGGGCCAGCGGGTCACTGCCGTGGTGACCCTCCGAGAAGGACATTCACTGTCCCACAGGGAGCTCAAAGAGTGGGCCAGGTAGGGCTGGGCGGGGTGGGCAGGGGGCACTCATGGGGTCTTGGGGCCCGGGGGTGAGGGCCACCCTAGGTCTTGGCATCGTCCATCGTAGAGGTGGAGGTGAGGGATCAAGAAAGACCAGCAGTGAGGGTCCTTAGAGACCTGAAGGCCACACACAGGGGGCAGAGATGAGGGCAGGGGGCAGGAGCCGTGCTCAGATTTGACTTGGTGGCAACATTCCGAGGGGGCAGAAACTCACATTCCTGGGACAGGGCCCTGTGAGGCCTGTGGTGGGTTCCGTCCTAGTCCCAGGAGAGATCCCGAATGAGCCAGGCCAGGCCCATGCAGGAGGTGCATGGAGCTGAGATCCAGGGTTGACACCACCTGACCGCACACACTGGGCCCTTCCCCACCAGGCCACGGGCAGCCTGTCCACTCGCTGCCCCAAAGCCAGTGCTGGGCCCCAGCAGAACCGCAAGGCCCACCCATTCTCCGCTGGCACCTGCACAGCCTCTCCCTCTCCTGCCCTGGGGGTTGGTCTTCAAGGTGCCTCACACACCTCCAGTCAGTTCCATGGAGACCCCAGCACCATCCCCTCACTCATTTCACTTTCCCCTCACACCCAGGGCAGGGCCCGTTCCTCAACAGCGGCCACCACCCAGTCTGTAAACTCACCTGCGTTTTTTGTTCTGCCTTTACCTTACCCAGAACCTTTCCCCAAGGGCTTTCTCTCACCTGTCTCACACCTGGTGGTTTCTGATGCATGGGACCCACAGACCCTTCCCCTTTGCCAGCAGCGCTGGTGGTCACACCCAGGGCTGAACCTAAGCTGTGGCCTCGTCAAAGGCCGTCAGGACAGAACCAGGCTGAGCTCAGAAAGGAAGCTTTTAGTTTCACCTACAGCAAATTCTTTTTTTTTTTTTAATTTATAAAGAAAGGTGGTATAATTGGCTCATGGTTCCACAGGCTGTACGGGAAGCATGGCTGGGGAGCCTCAGGAAACTTACAGTCATGGCGGAAGGCAAAGGGGAAGCAGGCACATCCTACATGGCTGGAGCAGGAGAGAACAAGCGAGGGAGAAGGGAGGGTCCACAGAGTGAGCAAAGGAGGAGGGAGGGGCCACAGGGCAAGCGAGTAGGGAGTGAGGAGCCACAGAACGAGGGGGGAAGGAGGGGCCACAGAGCGAGGGGGGAGGGAGGGGCCGCAGAGTGAGGGGGGAGGGAGGGGCCGCAGACCGGGGGGAGGGGCCACAGGGCAAGCGAGTGGGGAGGGAGGGGCCACAGAGCGAGGGGGGGAGGGAGGGGCCACAGAGCGAGGGGGGAGGGAGGGGCCACGGGGGGGGAGGGAGGGGCCACAGAGCGAGGGGGGGAGGGAGGGGCCACAGAGCGAGGGGGGGAGGGAGGGGCCACAGACCGAGCGAGGGGGGAGTGAGGGCCCCCAGAGCAGGGTGGGGAGGTAGGGGTCACAGAGCGAGGGGGGGAGGGAGGGGCCGCAGAGCGAGGGGGGGGGGGGGGAGGGAGGGGCCACAGAGCGAGGGGGAGGGGGAGGGAGGGGCCACAGAGCGAGGGGGGGAGGGAGGGGCCACAGAGCGAGGGGGGGAGGAGGGGCCACAGAGCGAGGGGGGAGGGGGAGGGAGGGGCCACAGAGCGAGGGGGGAGGGGGGAGGGAGGGGCCACAGAGCGAGGGGGGGAGGGAGGGGCCACAGAGCGAGGGGGGAGGGGGGAGGGAGGGGCCACAGACCGAGCGAGGGGGGAGTGAGGGCCCCCAGAGCAGGGTGGGGAGGTAGGGGCCACAGAGCGAGGGGAGAGGGAGGGGTCACAGAGTGAGGGAGAGGGGAGGGGCCACGCACTCCCAAATACCCAGTTCTTGTGAGAACTCACTCACTATCATGAGAACAGCAAGGGGAAAATCCACCCCTGTGATCCAGTCACCTCCCACCAGGTCCCTCTTCCAACAGTGGGGATCACAATTCAACAGGAGATTTGGGTGGGGACGCAAATCCAAATCCTCCCTGGCCCCTCCCAAATCTTATGTCCTTTTTACATTGCAAAATACAATCCTACCTTCCCAACAGTCCCCCAAGTCTTAACTCATTGCAGCATTAATTTAGAAGTCCACAGTCCAAAGTCTCGTCTGAGACAAGGCAAGTTCTTTTCACCTATGAGCCTGTAAAACCAAAGACAAGTTGCTTCCCAGATACAGTGGGAGTGCAGGCATTGGGTAAATACACCAGTGCCAAAAGAGAGACGTCAGCCAAAACAAAGGAACTGTGAGCCCCAGGCAGGTCCAAAACCTAGCAAGGCAGTCACCGAATCGTTTTTTGTTTTTTTCTTTTTTGGTTTTTTTTTTTTTTTTTTTTTTTTTGAGACGGGGTCTTGCTCTGATGCCCAGGCTGGAGTCCAGTGGCGTGATATCAGCTTACTATAGCCTCTGCCTGCAAGCAATTCTCCTACCTCAGCCTCCCCAAGTAGCTGGAACTATAGGCATGCACCACCACACCCAGATAATTTTTGTATTTTTTAGTAGAGAGAGGATTTTGCCATGTTGTCAAGGGTGCTCTCGAACTCCTGACCTTAAGTGATCCACCTGCCTCAGATTCCCAAAATGCTGGAATTACAGGCGTGAGCAACCCCATCCGGCCCAGTAAATCTTAAAGCCCCAAAATCTCCTCAGACCCATGTCTCACATGCAGGCTACACCGATGCAAGGAGGCGGCTCCCAAGGCCATGGGTATCCACCCCTGTGCCTGTGCAGGGCACAGCCACCATGCTGCTTTCATGGGCTGCTGTTGTGTGCCTGCAACTTTTCTAGGTGCCCCACATGGTGCAAGCTGTCGGCGGGTCATTCCAGGGTCTGGAGGACAGTGGCCCTCTTCTCACAGCTGCAGTAGCCAGGGCCCCGGTGGGGACTCTGTGTGGGGGCTCCAGCCCCATCTTTCTCTTCTTCACTGCCCTGGAGCAGTGGCCTGAGCTGTATCTGGAGCCCTTTTAGCCCCAGAGCAACAGGGATGCAGGGGCCAGTGTCCCTCAGAGCAGTGGCCCACAGAACCATTCTTCCCTCCAAGGCCTCTAGGCCTGTGATGGGAGGGGCTTCCATGAAGGTCTCTGACATGCCTGGAGATATTTTCTTCATAGTCTTGGCAGTTAACATTCGGCTCCTCTTTACTTACTCACATTTCTGCAGCCGCCTTGAATTCCTCCCCAGAAAATTGGGGGTTTTTTTTTCTACCACATGGTCAGGCTGCAAATTTTTCGAACTTTTATGCTCTGCTTCCCTTTTAAATCTAAGTTCCAGTTTTAGGTCATCTCTTTGCTCATGCTTAACAAAAGCGATCTTTGCTCCAGTTCCCAATAAGTTCCTCATCTCCATCTGAGTCTACCTCAGCCTGGACTTCATTGTCCGTATCACTATTAGCATTTTGGTCACAACAATTTAACAAGTTTCTAGGAAGTTCCAAACTTTCCCTCATCTTCCTGTCTTCTTCTGAGCTCTCCAAATCATTCCAACCTCTGCCTGTTACCCAGTTCCAAAGCTGCTTCCACATTTTCAGCTGTCTTAACAGCAATTCCTCACTTCCCAGTACCAATTTTCTGTATTAGTCCAGTCTCACATTGCTATAAATGATGCTGGATATCTCTCAGACACTTTGCCAGCAGGGGACCTCCATGGCCGGTAATGCCTCCAACACGGGCCTGCCACAGAGGCACCCACCCACTCAACCAACTGGGCGATGCTTGGCTTATGCACTGGCTCAGCCCACCTGTGTTATAGCTTATACCTGCATTCATTGGTTCCCAAGTTCGTGTCCCATGTCCAGGAAGAATGAGGTTACACTGACAATTCAAAGCGTGAGGAGAGTGGAGAAGAATTTTATTGAGCAATGAAATAGCTCTCAGTGGAGAGGGGATGCAAGGGTGCTCAACCACCTAGAGTTGGGTGTGGCTGGGTCCAGGGCTTTTTTGGGCACAGAATGGGGAGGGGCAAGCTGTAGGTAGCGCTGGAAAAGGTAACCTTTGGTTGGCTAAAAAGCATTATTCAGAAAGAACCAGTCAGAAAGAGTGGGCAAACAGGAATAGAAATTCTCACTCCGGGCCGCCGGTTTCAGGCTGTGTTTTGGCTTGAAGGTGGGGTTTCACCGGGGACCCACCCCTGTCTATCTGGGCATTTGACTGCTTCCTGTTGCTATCATAAGGAACTACCTGAGAAGGTAATTTATAAAGAAAAGAGGTTTAGGCCGGGCGCGGTGGCTCAAGCCTGTAATCCCAGCACTTTGGGAGGCCGAGACGGGCGGATCACGAGGTCAGGAGATCGAGTCGAGACCATCCTGGCTAACACGGTGAAACCCCGTCTCTACTAAAATACAAAAAAAAAAATTAGCCGGGCGAGGTGGCGGGCGCCTGTACTCCCAGCTACTCGGGAGGCTGAGGCAGGAGAATGGCATGAACCCGGGGGGCGGGGCTTGCAGTGAGCTGAGATCCGGCCACTGCACTCCAGCCTGGGCGACAGAGCCAGACTCCGTCTCAAAAAAAAAAAAAAAAAAAAGAAAAGAGGTTTAATTGGCTCACAGTTCCACAGGCTGTAAGGAAGCATGGCTGGGGAGGCCTCAGGAAACTTACAGTCATGGCAGAAGGGGAAGGGGAGGCAGCATGTCCCACGTGGTGGAGGAGGAGGAAGAGCTCACCTACCGCAAATTATTTAAGACCAAGCATTTGTCTCTGTTCTGTTCCTTCTCTGGACGCACCCTCCCTGCCTCCACCCTGACTTGCCTTCTCCTGAGCACTGAAGGTATTTTTGGCTCGTCCGTTGTGATTCCACAGACAACAGGAACGCTTGCTTCATCAGGGCAGCATCAGGGCACCACACATGCCTGGGTGTGCACAACACAGCTGGAGCACTGCCGCTCAGCAGCGGCTGCTGCTTTCATTAAACCTTGAGAAGAAAAGATAGGTGTCGGGTGCTGAGAGAGTGCTAGAGAGTTTCAGGGTCCGAGTTTGCAGGAACCGAAGTCCCGACGCTCCTCAGCCCTTGGCTTTCCTCAGACGGGGCTGCCCTCTGCTCAGGGACACCAGGCCGCTCGCTCCTGCTCTGTGCATCTCTCTGAAGGCAGGCTCCTCATCCAGCATCGTTTGGGCTATGACAGTGGCTGTGAGAAGACCCTGAGACAGGAAGCTGTGTGCAGGGCACTTGAGGGCCCGCTGGTGAGAAGCCGCCTGTGAGGGGCAGGACCGGGCAGGGAAGGCCACCAGCCGTGCAGTCACAGCCCAGGACTCCGTCAGTCCTGCGGGAGCCCTGGAGCCAGGCCCTTGCTCTCCAGGCCACTTGCTGTACTTGGCCCACAGCTACCTCCCCTGCAGCCCTGAGTCGTCCTTGCTGTGCCTGGCTTAGGCTGACACTGCAGTGCTTGTCCATTCACCATGAAAGAAAAAAGAACAGGAAGGGAGGCAGGAGGAAGTAAATTAGAGGATTAATTCAGACATTCCAACTGTCTTTTTTTTTTTTTTTTTTTTTGAGACGGAGTCTCGCTCTGTCACCCAGGCTGGAGTGCAGTGGCCGGATCTCAGCTCACTGCAAGCTCCGCCTCCCGGGTTCACGCCATTCTCCTGCCTCAGCCTCCCGGGTAGCTGGGACTACAGGCGCACGCCACCTCGCCTGGCTAGTTTTTTTTTTTTTTTTTTTTGTCTTTTTTGGTAGAGACAGGGTTTCACCGTGTTAGCCAGGCTGGTCTTGATCTCCTGACCTCGTGATCCGCCCGTCTTGGCCTCCCAAAGTGCTGGGATTACAGGCTTGAGCCACCGCACCCGGCCCAAACATTCCAACTGTCTAATGGGAGTTCCAAAAAGAAGATATTCAGGGAAGAAATTAACAGTCAAATTTCCCCAAACCAAAGGTCATGAGTTTTCAGATTGAAAGAAGACCCCAGGAAAGAAGAGAGAAAACAGCATTGTAAATATCAGGAAGGAAGCGAAACCTCAGCTCAGGCCTGCGGTCTCTGCTGGGCAGTGTGGCGGCATGGAAGGCTGCAGGCTGCTTAATCCAGTGAAGCCAGCAGGTCAGACGAAACGGATAACTTCCTTAAAAGACACAAATTTCCAAGACTGACGCAAACACCAAAGCAGACTGAACAGTTCTGAGTTCTCAATTTAAAACTGCAAAGCAAATACCAGGCCCAAAAAGTTTCACTGGTAAATTCTCTCAAACGTTGAAGGCAAAAAATAAAACCAGACGCAACAAAATAAGTCTCTGACGAAACAGCAGAGAGGAACAATTCCTAACTCCCTTTATGGGACCAGTACTACCCTGAAATCCAAACCGTGCAAGAAAACTAGAGAACAGTGTTCCCGATGGGCAGACACACAAAATCCTTAACAAACCATTAGCCAGTTAAATCCAGTTAATGCACAAAAAGACAACACGTCATGATCAAGCAGCATTTAAGCCAGGAATAGAGGGTTACTTTCATTTTCAAAAATCAGTCCATGTGATTCACCTTTATTTTAAGACGGACTCTCGCTCTGTCACCCAGGCTGGAGTGCAGTGGCGCAATCTCCACTCACTGCAGACTTTGCCTCCGGGGTTCAAGCGATTCTCCCGCCTCAGCCTCCTGAGCAGCTGGGATTACAGGTGTGCGCCACCATGCACAGCCAATTTTTGTATTTTTAGTAGAGATGGGGTTTCGCCATGTTGGCCAGGCTGGTCTCAAACTCCCGACCTCAAGCGATTCACCCGCCTCAGCCTCCCAAAGTCCTGGGATTACAAGTGTGAGCCACTGGTAATTCACCATATTTACAGAATGAAGAAAAATCATATTATTTCAATAGATACAGAAAAAGCATTTGCAAATGCCAAAGCCCTTTTATAACAAACTCTTCACAAACTAGGAGAAGAAGGAAAATACCTGAACCTGATGAGGGAGCCTCTTGAAAGCCACCAGGTGACATCCTGCTCAATGGCGAGCTGCTGGGCGTTTTCCTCCTGTGACCAGGAAGGGGCGTCCGCCCTCGCCACTGCCAGCCAGTCTCATTCAACACAGAGTTTGTCCGCTCTTAGAAGTCAAGACATTGGTTACATGTGGAGGCTGGGAGTGGCTCAGACAGGCAGAGGGGCTTCTGGGAACCCGGCCATGTTCCCTTTCAGTCTGGGCGCTACTTAGATGGGGGCAGTTGCTTCAGTAAAACTTTAGAAATTCCTACACAGGCCAGGCGCGGTGCTCACACCTGTAATCCCAGCACTTTGGGATGCCGAGGCGGGCAGATCACCTGAGGTCAGGAGTTGGAGACCATCCTGCCCAACATGTTGAAACCCTGTCTCTATTAAAAATATTAAAAAGACAAAAATTAGCCAGGCGTGGTGGCGGGCGCCTGTAATCCCAGCTACTCGGGAGGCTGAGGCAGGAGAATCACTTGAACCCAGGAAGCGGAGGTGCAGTGAGCCGAGATTGCACCACTGCAGTCCAGCCTGGGGGACAAGAGCAAGACTCTGTCTCAAAACAAAAAAAATTCTACACATCCCTCACCACACTGTACACAGGACAGCTGGGTGTAAATTACACCTCCATTTAAATACCTATAATAGTTTTATATAACTATAAAATATGTACGTGCCAAAATAAATTTGATAGGAAAATTGGAGCCGGGCGTGGTGACACATGTCTGTAGCACTTTGGGAGGATCCTCTGAGCCCAGGAAGTCCAGGCTTTGGTGAGCTGTGACTGCACCACTGCACTCCGGCCCAGGCAACAGTGAGATCCTGTCCCAGAGAGAAAAGAGAAAAAAAGAAAAAAGCAATTTGGAAATGTGGAGGTCGAGGTTGACAGCGACACCAACGTCAAACCACTTGCCCCTGGGGAGGGAGGGACTGGGCTGGGCCGACTCGCACCTCCGCCCCGAGAGGCCTACGGGCAGGGGCAGGTGGGCAGGGGTCTGTGCTGGGTCTCTGGCCACGTCTGGATGGCAGGCGACGCTTTCTCCACAAAAAGCGTCAAGAAACCACGACACTTGGTTTCTGGACTTTTCCGCTGGACAGTAACCTGAACAATCGCCGTCAAGTTCGTTTCTGACACGTCTCAGTGTCCGCCTGGACGCCCTGAACCAGCCCTTCCTGCAACTGGAGTGTGGCCGCTGCCTTCAGGGTATTGCTGGGTGGGCGGAGGCCACACAGCTGTCCCCCCTTTTGGGGGTTAATCTCATTCCTTCCTTCCTTTCCTTCTTTCTTTAATGGTGAATGGAGGAGCACCGAGCACCACTGCAGTCTCAGCTTCCGATCCCAGTGCCTTGTCCCTGCCCACTGCCCTCGGCCGCTCATCTGCATTGGCACCGCCCTGGCCCCACCCACCTGCATCAGCCCCGCCCACTGCCCTGGCACCACCCACCGAGTTCTGGCCATGGGCACAGGGGACCCTGAGTGGAGGTGTCAAGCCTTAGGGGCTGTCCCTGCTGTGTGGGGGTCTGTGAGGCCTCTTGCCACGCCGGCTTGTGTCTGCAGGACTGTGGGGCATTTGTTCCCATCTCAAATACCCCATGCAGGGCAGGCTGCCCCTGCCCCACCTGCCCACCCACTCCCCAGCCCCTTCCACATGCCTCCTCTGGAAGGGGAACCGGCCACAGAATGACATGGGGCGTTCCAGCTCCAGTGCGGGGTCTTGGAATGCCTGGCCCAGTGTGGGGGTCCCTCTGCCCTACAGGCCACTCTGTGCAGGCCTGTCCTCGGGTGCCCTCGCCCAAGGCCTGCATGCACCATGACTTCTGTGGTACCAGTGATAATGGCATGCTGGGCACCTCCTGCAGTCACCACCCTGGGCTGCTAGGGCAGAGACAGCTGCGGTTGCCCAGGACGCATGCCAGGCCTCAGGATGGCCGAGGCGCCTGGCCAGGCTGCAGCGTCCAAGGGGCACCTGTCCACACTGCTGGGCACCTGAGCTACCGCTGGGCAGTGTTGGGACAACGCATCTCAGGCTGTGCTTGTCTCTGCAGAGATGTCCTGGCCCCGTACGCCGTGCCCTCGGAGCTCGTGGTGGTGGAGGAGATCCCGCGGAACCAGATGGGCAAGATTGACAAGAAGGCACTCATCAGACGCTTCCACCCCTCGTGACCCGCGCACCAGGGGCTGGGCACTTGGACTGCGGGTCTGGCTGGGAGCAGCAGACGTCTCCCTCACACCGAGCACCGCGGGGGCCTGTCTGAGACCTGGCCTCCCTTAAGCCTGAATGCCCCAAATCGGGTCACGTAGAACAAAAACTGTTTGGGATGAAATCACCACGTGAGGTCCCCAGCCTTGGGCCAGTTGTTGCAGCTCAAGGAGACCGTCCCTGATATCACCTCTGCCTGGTCACTGCCGACCTCGCAGCCCGCCCCACGTGCCCACGGCTGCCTGGTCACCACCAACCTCGCGGCCGGCCCCACGTGCCCACGTCTGCCTGGTCACCACCGACCTCGCGGCCGGCCCCACGTGCCCACGTCTGCCTGGTCACCGCCGACCTCGCGGCCGGCCCCACGTGCCCACGTCTGCCTGGTCACCACCGACCTCGCGGCCGGCCCCACGTGCTCAGGCACCTCCCGCCCCACAGTGCCCTGCAGTTACCAGGCTCTCCAGGGTGGGTCCCGGAGGTGTCCCCCAAAAAAGAAATAAAGACTCCACTGGAGGAACGAGGGCCGTCCCACACTGTGCCCAGGCCTGTGACTGCGGCAGACTCATCCGCCCATGCCTGTGCCTCACCCGTGAGCCAGTGTCTCCCAGTCCACATAGGTCTCGGCAGCCGCCCGGAGGGCCTCCTGGGAGGAGCTGAGGGTTCACAAACCTCCCAGAACCGGCCGGGCGCGGTGGCTCACGCCTGTAATCCCAGCACTTTGGGAGGCCGAGGCGGGCGGATCACAAGGTCAGGAGATCGAGACCACGGTGAAACCCCGTCTCTACTAAAAATACAAAAAACTAGCCGGGCGCGGTGGCGGCGCCTGTAGTCCCAGCTACTCGGGAGGCTGAGGCAGGAGAATGGCGTGAACCTGGGAGGCGGAGCTTGCAGTGAGCCGAGATCGCGCCACTGCACTCCAGCCTGGGCGACAGAGCGAGACTCCGTCTCAAAAAAAAGAAAAACCTCCCAGAACCAGCCCTGTCCCATGGGTCCTGGGCATCTCCTGGTGCCACTCTCGGAGGAGGGCAGCTCCCGCTGTGGGGACACTTGCCACCCTGCTCACTACTGTGTGTCCGTCAGCGTGTGTCACAGAAAGTGTATGGACGGACGGCCGTGGAGCGGCTCTGCTGTGACCCTGCCTCACCCCCCATCGCACAGACCTTCCAGGTCATCTCCACACCAGCCCCTCAGCCAGTGAACCCTCCCTCCCATCACCGTCTCTACCCAGACCCCCACCTGCCCCATGGCCCCCGTCTCATGTCTGTGGCTCGCCAGCTTTTCCCCAGACCCAGGTCCAGAGCCCACAGGCGTGGCCGATGCAGAAACCTCAGGAACGTGTGCTGTCAGTGTTGGGCGCACCCACGTTGCATTTACTTAGCGGGGTCAATTCAGATGCACGGGGGCCACATGCAGAATCCAGAAGTTTCTGGACAATTTTCAGAAGAACAGGCTGCCTCTTCCCCACAGCCTCTGGGAAGTAACAGCCCAGCAATGTCTGGCCTCAACTTACCCAGAACATTCTGCCCCTGGAATGCATGTCTGAAAGGGTGGCCAGAAGCGAGTGTGCCAGGCAGGAGACCAGCCCCATCTCAGGCTCACGTGCCTTGGGCAGGAGGCCAGCCCCATCTCAGGCTCACGTGCCCGGGCAGGAGGCCAGCGCCATCTCGGGCTCACGTGCCTCTGGGACAGGTGGACGTGGCCTGGGGCCCTTGCCCACTTAAGCATGTTGCCCACCAAGCTTGTCTGAGGCATCCCAGACAGCGGCATTCCAGCCCTGTTTTCCAGGACGGGTGGGCACCCCAGTCCACAGCCCTGTCCCACCCGAACTCCTGCCTCACCGTGTGGCCTTGTGCATCCCCTTGGCCTGACCCTGGGAACAGTCAAAGCAAGGGGCCCTGCCCTCCCGCCGGAGGCCTGGACTCAAGGGAACAGCACTCAGAGACCACAGGTCAGACGTTTGTGTCTAGGCCTTGCTAGTAGCTAAGGAAATGCCTTCTGTTGGGGAAAGGGTCAAATTTAACATAGCAAGATTTTTACTTAATTCCACTAATTTTACATTTGCATCTCTCTCCTTTAATCCTGAAACTTGATTCCATAATCATTTGCTTTATCCAATAGTATAGATCATATGCTTTCAAAATAATGAGGATGACTTTCTCCTGACAATACCACAAGCTACAGAAAGCCTGGAGCTCGCTGACCAGCTTGTTGACCAGAATATGGTGCTCCAAGGATGTGCGGTTGAATGCCGTGTTCTAAAGTCACGAGTGACTCTCCAGCCGGTTCCTGTGCCAGGTCGGTCGGCCTTCGTGCACACAGTCCGCCAGCACCCATCCAGGCCGTTTCCCCTCCGCTCCACCAGCCGAGAACAAGCTCATCCTTCGTGCACACAGTCCGCCAGCATCCAGCCAGCCCCCGTTTCCCCTCCGCTCCACCAGCCGAGAACAAGCTCATCCTTCGTGCACACAGTCCGCCAGCATCCAGCCAGCCCCCGTTTCCCCTCCGCTCCACCAGCCGAGAACAAGCTCATCCTGGAGGGAACTCATCCGCTCCTCCCTCCCCATTAAAGCCCAGTTTATTCCCCGTCTTGGTCTCTGGTGCTGACCTGGCCTCTGGAGACACAGGCAGGGGGCCCTGTTTGCCAAGTCACCGTGACTGAGCCCCACAAGGATACCTAAGTTGCACATGGCTGGCAGCACCTGCCCCGCACACCCTGCCCCTTGCTGGGCGGCCCACGCCACACAAGTTAGACCCAGGAGCAGGTGCCCTGGGAGCAGGGCTGCCACCCGCCAGGTCCAAAGCCGCCTCTGCGTGCCTGCTGCCTTTGACCTCCTGGGGAGGCTGGCTTGAATCTGAAAAGTCAGCCAGCTCTGACCCCAGCCAGACACGGAGGTGCTGCCAGGAGCTGCTCCCAGGCGAGTGGCCCAGCTTCTCTCAGGCACCAGGGGATGGCGGGACTCCTGGTGACCAGCTGGTCCCCAAAGCTGTGGCACCGTGCCTGCTGCTGCCAGCAAAGTCCCACATGCAGCCTGTGGTAGCTGCCACCCTGTCCTTCCTGCCCCTCCCTCATCAGGGGCCAGGGTGAAACCCCTGCCACCCTCTGCCTTCCCTCCACCTGCGGCTTCCCGGGCAGGGAGACCATGGGCCCAGCTCCTGCTTCCTCCATTCATTCCACAGATATGGCCCAGGCCAGCAGCCCAGGCATTAGGCTGGTGGGTCCACTGAGGCGTAGACGCCCCCCGGGACAGGACAGGCCTGAGGCAGCTGAGCAGTGCCAAGCCGGGCCCATGTTCCCGCCCAGCAGCAGCCCTTGAGGCTGCCTTCCTCCCAGGTGTCCAGGCCCAACACAGAAGGCCTGAGCCTGCTCTGCCTCAGTTTCCCTACTCTGTAAACTGAGGCTGCTGCTCTCTCTGGGCCCTTCTGGCCCTGACCAAGGAGTGGGGCTTTGTTCCCTCAGGAGTCCTGTCCATGGGGACTGGCTACACACATGCCCCACACCGCCCTTCCACCTGGACTCTGGCCCGGTGGCACCAGGGTTGGGAGCAGGAGCCTTAGGACACATGCAGCGCCAGGCACAGCATGGAGCGAGACAGTGGGCGGCGTGGTAAGTGCTGTGGGCACCACTGACCTGGAGGAGCCGTGACTCCCAGACCCTCGTGTCAAAGCTTCTGGCCTCGTTTGCTGGGAGGCTGGGAGGAGGCCCTCGTGCAGAACAGCAGCTTGTTGCCGGCCTTGGTGAGAAGGTGGTGAGTGCGCCGGCCACTGAGTTAACCGTCAGTAACGGGATGTGTGCAGACGGGCGTGGACCACAGGTATGTATGTCTCACACACACGCCTGCATGTATCATATGTACGTGTGTCTCACACATGCACCTGCATACCCCACAGGTATGTCTGTCTCACACACACGCCTGCACATATCACATGTATGTATCTCACACGTCTGCATACACCACATGTATGTCTCACATGCCTGCATATATCACATGTATGTGTCTCACATGCCTGCATGTCACATGTATGTGTCTCTCACACACACGCCTGCATACATACATGCACATGGACACCTATGTGCACACCAGTCCCTCCCTCCCTCCCCCGTCCTCATCTTCAGGCTCAGCCGGGCCTGTGATCACTGTCGCCCGAGGCAGCTGCACTGGGGCCCCGGCTCCCCTCACACTGTGTCTGATCAGGTTGGGACTCACTCGGCTGCTCTCACCGCGAGGTCCTTGGTGCGGCTGCTCTTGGTGGCCCTTCTAGAGCCTTCCCGAGTGAGAGGACGCCCACTCCCCCCAGGCCCACAGAGCCTGCCTCCACGGGCCCTGGGGGCCAATTCTGTCCCCTCCTCCCTGGCCACAGAGCAGTCAGTGCAGCCGCTCTCCTGCCTGGAAGCGTAAAGTGGACCCTGTGTGAAAACATGGACGACGTGGAGAATGAGCAGCTCACCAAATGGATCAGTACGAACGATCACACCCCACGTGCATCTCCTCCGCAGCCACAGGAGAGACCAGGTCACTGGAGGATAAACATCTGCGACTGCACCTCCTGATCCATCACCCACGACGGCCACGGCATCCCCTGCCAGCCGCCGGCACAGCCACGAGCACAGCCATGGGCACGGCTTGGGAGCATGTGGTTGTCACAGGATGGACGACCATGGATCTGCCTCTCTCTGAGCAGAAAGCAGGTCCCCACAGGCGGGTGCGGGGAAGGGGCGGGTCCCGGGTCCGACAGGCACCCCCTGAGCACCAGCCCCTCTGAGGGTGGCCGGAGGGCGCTGCCGCAGGTCCCCACACACCCAGCGCACACTGTCCCACACACTGGAGGCACCTGCCAGGTTCTGACACCCTTCAAGTGCCTTCCCAGGGTTCTCGCACCCGCTGAAGTCAGCGCGCTCAGCCTGCTTTGCACATGAGCAGCTGAGGCAGGTGAGTTGAGGGCAGGGGTGTGACTCACAGGCTTGGGGCCAAAGCCCAAGGTCGTCTCCTCTGGCCTGCAAGCTCAGGCTCACACGGGGAGCAGCCAGGCTGGACTGGGTGCAGCTTACGGACATAGCACGTGCTGTGGGCGTCGGCCGCGGCTCCTCCATGCAACGCTGACACTGCTGTCTGCAGATCGCACCCGGTCAGGAGGGAATGGCCCAGGCAGGTGGGCAAGGCCATGGCTCGGCCAGGTAAGGCTGGGAGGGCCCAGGATGGACGTGCATTGAGCCAGGCAGGAGATCTGGAGAGGCGGAGGGATGGGGAGGGAGCGCCATGCAGAGGCCGCTCGGTCCTCAGGAGCTAAGCCTCACCCTGGGAGTCTCAAGGAGGGCGTCCCCTGGCCTTAGCCAGCAGCCAGGGCCAGCATGTGATCTGTGGCAGCCGGTCTCGGGGTGGCCTCGTTCGCAGTCTTGCTGGATGGAGACCCCCAGCTCCTAGGGCAAGCGCAGGCGGGGCAGGGCCGTCCCGGTCAGCTGACAGGAACTGAGCTGAGAAGGCTGCAAGCTGCCGAGTCGCCCTAACAGCAGGGTGGTCCTGCGGGCAGTACTG